AGTGTTAGGGTAGCTGTTTACAAGGGCAGTTATTAAAAGCCTCTCTTGGCGATGCAACTACTTCCCCAACAAAACTTGAATATCGCATTCTTTCCACCAATTGTCAGTAGCTAATTAAAGTATACTTACTTTTGTAATAAACTGCTTAGTGAATCATTCAAAGATCAGCGATGATCGCACTATTGTGGCAATGAAATAGATGTACAATCCAATGAACTGTTTTGCTTATTGCTTATTCAAATATCAAATGGTTATCCTTCATAAAAAAGGACTATTTCATATTTACATACACAATAGCTTGGTATTTTGAATTCTCAGTGGAGCTCCTAGATTCTTGGTCTAACATATATGAGCTTCTATGGCTTCAGATGACTTAAAAATGTTTAAGGACGGGGCCCTCCAGCATGCAGTTCAAAAATCGTTGAAAATCGTTAATGTCTTTTAATTATATAATAAAAATAAAAAAAAGTAATACAAGACTAGAGTGAGTCCAACTCTAAAATACTCTCCCTGTACTCAACTAACAAATTGATTTATAAATATGTTTTTGAAATTAATTTTTTTTTAATTTAAACAAAAATGTGCAGCACGTTTGAGCAGGATTGTGTTTACACGCGTTTATTCGTTTCATATTATTATTTAATATTTAATCAACAGTATATTGGGTTGACAGCGAATGGTAATAGAATACAACATATAGATTGGAATGTTCATGCTACACTAACGTATAGTATAATTAAAACATATTTACAATTTAAAACATTGTCGTAATGTCTACTGCACGTAAAATGCAATACATAGTAGGATGTTTGTAATAATTGTAATCAGCCTATTCCTCTTTTTGGCTCTAATTAATTATTTATTTATTTTAGCATTTGAAAATTTAAATTAATCCTAAATTACAAAATTCGATACATACATATAAACAAACAAGTAAAAAAGCTAAAGTCGGGTGTCCCGACTTTGAAATACTCTGTACATATGTTTACAATAATTATAGAAAATAAAAAAAATTAAGAAAATAAAAAAAAAATTTGATCGATTTTACCTCTCTCGGTATTCGAACTCACGTAAAGGGTGTATAATTGCACATTTACATAGCAATGGCGTCTGTGTGAGTGTATGTATGCCTATGCGCATCTATTCGTGTCTGTGTAAGCATTTTCGCAGTCAACCAAACAGCAACATCAACAACAGCCGCGGGCAGCGCTTGAGCAGCGCTGCAGCAGCGCTGCATCAGCAAATATATTTATGGCTATAACTTCTTGTTAAATCGGTCTATCATAATGAAATTTGGCATACGGACACATAATAACTAACTGGGGGTATTTACAAAATTTTAGTTCGAAATTCCAAGAATTACGGGAGTTACGATTTGCGGGGTAGAGGGGGGAGGGAAGGGAATTCCAAAATATACATTTTCTGCGTATTCACATAAGGCATCTGGGACTAAAATTTGGTGTTCCTAGGTCTTATAGTCTCCGAGATATAGGCGATTATACAAATGGAAAATCGGGAAAACCCCCATAGGGGGGAAGTGGGGGGGAAAATCAAAAAAATAAAACAAACTCGTATAGAATACACACATAACGCATCTTTGTGCAAAATTTGGTGTCTCTATCTCTTATAGTCTCTGAGATCCAGGTGTTCATACGGACGGACAGACGGACAGACGGACAGACAGACAGACAGGGCTAGATCGACTCGTCTCGTCATGCTGATCAAGAATATATATACTTTGTGGGGTCTGCCACGCCTCCTTCTGCCTGTTACATTTTTCAGCTCCCGCAAACCTAATATACTCTTGTACATTTCATGTACAGAGTATAAAAATATAACTAAAGCCAACGAAGGCCTTCGGGCTGGTTTTTCTTTTAAATCTATTACTTATAATGTTTATATGTAGTTTAGAAATAAGTTGTATAAAGCTATTAATATTTACATCTCTGTCAATTTGATGAGGTCAAGTGTACGGAATTTCCTAACGACAGAATAAAATATTTTAAATATTTTAATATAAATATATGTTATTTTAATAGGTGCAGTTTAAAATCTCTACTCTTTCTAAAGAATTTTTATAATTTTGTATTTTTAATTGTTCATTGTTTTAACTCTTTTTATAGTTGAATGAATATTAATTTACTACTATTATTTGTGTATGTTTCCATGATTCTTAAAATAGACTGTTCTTTGGCAGAGATAAAAAAATATATTGAGCTTCCTTTACAATTGACCCATTGCGACTAATCTAATAATCTTGTCGTGAGGATACATAAGCACCAATCGGATATAGTTGATATACAGAACAGATCCAATTGTGTTTTGGTTCTACATTTAGAATGATTTTACTTTACTTTAACCTTTACTTTAAAATATAAACGCTGTTTCAAAGGTTGTATTGGTTGATAATACCTTATCTGCCTGTTTGTGTGTCCAGGGAAATCAATTAAAGAATTTCGTGTCAAATCGAGAATACATAATACTCAACCCTTCCCTCATATCCTCCATTGTAGTGTTGCCAAGATTTTGGTTTTATTGCCCAGCCCTAGAATACTCCCCCCACCTGGGCACAGTATTTCTTCTAGCAGCCCTTGGCAAACGGTGTGTAAACTTCATAATTGTAACCTTTTGCACCTAACGAAATGCCAGCGAGCAAATGGCGCGCCGCAAACGCCATAGTAAAAATGAGTAAAAGCCATTTCCCTAATTTTCCCATAAACAAATACATAAAATCCACACTTACTTTCTAGAGCACAAAAAAATGAAAAGAAGAAAACTACGTGGCCGTGGCTGCAGTAAAAACTGACCGACCGACTGACTGACTGAATGGCTGACTGAATGGCTAACTGAGTGTCGGCCATTGCGTTATGCGAAACGCCCACACAGCGGAGCTGGAGCTGGTGCTGGTGCTGGAGCCGGAGCTGGTCAGTGGCGAGCGGTCAGCGTTCACACCACAGAATTCGCCGGCGGCGACTGAGTCTGAGGCCGCAGTTGACGTCGACCGAGACGCCGACTGCGCTCATAAAATGTATGTAAATGTTAAATATGATTTACGGCATTTCCGCAAGCGATGGCAAACAGTTGCGGCTCCGCATTAGAACGCCAGGGGCGCGGGGAAGCGGAAAAACAGGAAAGCAGGAAAACCACGAAAGGCAGGGGCAGGGGCAGTGGCGATGGCGATGGCGATGGAGGGGGCGTTCGCGTTGGTGTTGGTGTAGTATTCGAAACAGGGCGTGGCAGGGCGTTGCATAGCAAATAGCAGTGGGTGGGTGAATGCGAGGTTTTCTTTTCACACTTTTATGGATACATTAGTCGACGACGAACATCGAAGGAACGTGTTAACATTGGGTCTTGCCAGCAACTTCCGGTGTTATCAACATTTGGTGCGCTGCGAAATTCAATTGGACAACCAAAAAGGGCTGCCGTTTAAAGTGTCGAGTCCGAGCTGTTCTTTGCTTCCTCTGTCAAGCTTGACTGCAGCCTAGCATTAAGTTATGATGAATGTATCGCCCCGTCCGGTGTTTAGTTGTTTGTTGGCTTGCTTCGTTAGTTGGTTAGTTGGCTGCCATTTTCTGTGCATTCTACACTCTGCAGATGTCAGCGATGCGATAAGCAACACTCGTTAAATGTTGCCTACAATGCCGCTAATTGTGGCATGCACCAAGCCCTGTGTCTTGTTGACCTTTAAAAATTCCGAAAGTGGCTGATTATTATATATTTACCATACTACCAGATAACTAGCGAGAACAGCATAACTATTCCTATAGCATATAGTAACAAATGAGAAGAAAAGAGAAGAGTGCCAGAAATACTGTAAAGATTAATACTTAATACAGGCCACCAACGATTGAAGAAATGAGTGTGACATCAATTATTCAATATTGTTCTAGATTTGTTGGTAACGTCAACCTATGTGTTCAACCAGTTGTAATTAAATAAGTAGTACTCCTAGCATGCCTATCAATACAGTTTATTATTTGGTTAAGCACAAGTCTTCAACAATTCTGCAAATAAGATTTTCACGCTTGACTTAATTCATTAAAAGTTAAATTATTAATTGAACGAGGTGATGATGTGTGTAGTATGTTTCTATTATTATTATAGCAGTATATATAAACTGGTAATTGAATGTTAAAGTAAATTTCTGGGGCTTCGTAGGCAACATTCTTATAAATTGCTTTGCTTGTAACAGTCATAAGAGAGAATTAAACATTTTAACAATACATGGCAAAAGAAAATACAGGAAATGATAAGACCGATGTATCCCTTTATGCTGATAAATTAGAGGCTTCCCTCTGCCTGTTACATGCACTAGCAAGGGGATAAAAACATAAGAATAGGAAAAAGCATGAAACTTGTGTCAGAATGCGACGATAGTAACATTCATTGGAAGGAGGATTGTTTTTGTACATTTCGCTCACTGTTCCCTTATTTAGCATGCCATGTTGTTAATTATAATGTTATTATAACAAATGTTGTAACATTCGTATACAAGCCAGCTGAGAGGGGGGCCACAGCAAAGGCCCGCAAACAGTCCACCGTCAACATTATGGCCTAGAGCCAAATAAAAAACCTCAAGACAAATGACACAAACTGGGCTTGGTCATTAGCGTCGTTTACACTTACAGCGCAAGCACATGGTTCTGATTGTGGTTGTGGTTGTAGTGGTTGTTGTTGTTGGTGGTGCTAGTGCTGGCATTATGAGGTGCAAGGTCGGGCGGCAGTAAATCTAAGCCCACGGCACTACAACTACACGTACAACGACGTCGCGGAAATGTGTCAAAAACGTGCTAAAAGTCATAAAATTAAATATGCGTCTTATTTACATACCACGTCCACACACATACCACACATACACACACACACACACACACACACACTCACACACGCACATACTAGAGCCACTCACTCACAATGGAGGGCAATAAAAAATAGCTCATGATTTCTTTTTGGTTCTCTCTGCTTACTACTTCTAACATTCCCTTTTGGTCTACTTTCAGGCGCATGTTTCCCACTGTGCGTGTCAGCTTCTCTGGGCCGTTGCGTCAGATACAACCACCCGATCGCTATGCCGTCCTGCTGGACGTAGTGCCCCTGGACTCGCGTCGATATCGCTACGCCTACCATCGCAGCTCGTGGCTGGTGGCGGGAAAGGCGGACCCGCCGCCCCCCGCCCGAATTTATGCACATCCCGACAGCCCCATCAGTCCCGAAGCTTTGCGCAAGCAGGTCGTCTCCTTCGAGAAGGTGAAGTTGACGAATAACGAAATGGATAAGAGTGGACAGGTGAGTTGGCGAAGGATTGCTGGGCTGGGCTATATTTGGAATGTATTTTTTTGCTGTTATATGAACCTCACAAACTATGAGCTTTTAGTTCTGGAAGCTTTGCATTTTCACCACGAGAATTTCTTAGGAATTATCGATTAAATTTCCGGTTTTATGTTTTACCAGGCGTTTCAGGAATTATTCCCTATTCCTACTACGAGCCATCAAGTTTGTTTCTCTTATTTGTTTTAATAATATACAATTTCAACTTATTGAATTTAAAGCAACAATTTTATTGCTTTTATTATTTAATTGGAAATTTGTTGGTCAAAAACTTAAAAACGGTGCAAGAATCAACATCATTTTTGATCATTTCTTTTTAAAAACTTGCCTCATTCATACGCAGGCAAAGTTTATCACAAGACATAGCATCAATATTTTATGCGTGTATATCTGTCTTAGGAACGATCGGCGCAAAAAGAAAGGAAGCAGATGCATCCACCCATTAAATTCAAACATAACAAAAGTATTTGCCCCCATTAATGTGATTAAATTAGAAATGCTTCACCAAGGACATCAACCTAGAAAGAAAGTGCTTTGAAGTGGGATCGATGTAAGGATTAGAGAATTGTTGATAGCTTAAATTGATATTTGTCTAATGGACATCAAGTGAACTTGTGATAAAAATGAAACTTGGCTAGAATTTAGATGGATGTATATTCGTACAAATAGTTCGTCAAATGATGCTGAGAACAGACTCCAAGACATGTTTCTACAACATGTTGCTGGAAACGTTTGAAATGTTTCTTCGTTTGGGAAACGAAGCAGCTTCTTCTGATCTAAATTAAATTCGAAACTAGCACAAGCTTTGCATCCATAAATGTGCTGGGAGTGTGTAAAATCAGAAATGCTTCACCATGCTCCTTCAATGCTTCTGGGATAGATGTAAGCATTAGAGAGTTGTTGATTGTTTTAACTGATAATTCTTTTATGGACATCAATTGAACTCGTGATAAAAATGAAACTCGGGTAGAATTTAGATGGATGTATATGTGTGTACTATAAATAGTTCTTTAAATGATGCTGAGAACAGACTCAAGGACATGTTCCAACAACATGTTGCTGGAAACATTGCAAATGTTTCCTCGTTTGGAGCCCGCGTGGTGCAGGCATCTGAAATGCATTTATGAATATTGTAACAACAACGACTCGTACATAAAAATGGCGGCTGGCTGGCATTGTTTTAGCACGACGGAGACGCGGCAATTGCCGTTGCCAGGGCTGCCAGGGCAGACAGAACTAAACACACATACCCGTACATACCGTACACGTTGCACGTTGGCGCATATGCAAATTTTTCAGCGCACGCACAAAAATGAATGAAAATTGTTGGCAATTTGGTGGCAAAAGCGGAGCAGCTACAAACGTGACCAACACAAACAACCTGCCGCCACATAAACACACACACACACACACACACACACACTTGTACATAGGCAGTATGTGCATATGCAGGAGTATATGTGCATGTACATACATATGTATTATCGCGGCTATCTCTTGTCTGGTTAGTCCTTGCTCTTTACGATCCCGCTTGCCAGCCACATTGCTCCAGTTTTTATCGCCATCATAAAAGTTGCTGCCGACTTTGCTCCTCGGCTCTGTCAGCAGAAACGTCGCCATAACCGTCGCCTTCGCCGTCGCCGTCGCCGTCGCTTCAGTCAAAAGAAATGCAGTCTACTTTTTATTGCTGTAAATTTTTTATAAGCAACAAAGAGAGGAGCAAATTCTATACTTTTTATTTTATTTGTATTTTTTGCAGGTCGTGCTCAATTCTATGCATCGCTATCAGCCACGCATCCATTTGGTGCGTTTGAGTCATGGCCAGAGCATCCCGAACAGTCCCAAGGAGCTGCAGGATATGGATCATAAAACCTATGTTTTCCCGGAGACTGTATTCACGGCCGTTACGGCCTATCAGAATCAATTGATTACAAAATTGAAAATCGATTCAAATCCGTTCGCAAAAGGATTTCGTGATTCGTCGCGTCTGACTGACTTTGATAGGTAAGTGAAGATTCAAGAAGAAGCACTCATTTATGGTAGTAGTCCGTGTAAGGGCCGTGTAAGTAGTTTCCGTGTTTGTTTTTTGCTTTTACGACTGCACAGTTCTGCAGCTTTTATGGCACGCCCTTGATTTACGGCCCAATTTACGATGACCTGATGTGCCGTAAAAACCGTACAGTAGCTCAAGTGTCAGCACTACTTCTGATTAGCGAAAATGTGTGAAAGTGTTGCAAGCCACGCGGCAACTTCAATTAGGAGTGGCAACAGCAACACTCACTGCCGGGCCTACTTATGTGTTTCCAATGTATTTCTTCATCTCACAAATGCATATCAAGTGAAAAAGCAATAGGTCGAGCTCGGTGCATGCCTCGAATCCGAACTTCTGTGGTGGACAGGGGACTGCGGTTCCCAACATGGTTCATGACTGATCGTTCACTTAATTTCCATTCCAAATTCTGCCAATATCGGTTTCTCAGGGAAATTTGCAAGTGCCACAACTTTAGAGTGTGTTTGTATGTACATGCTGTGAGGCCTGGAATACTTAGAGTGGAATAAAAAGATCCAAGGCCCAATTTAATTAGTTTTAATATAGTTTCAATTCAAATGATATGAATTTGCATTACGGGAAAATTGCTATACATCGTCGTTTAGTCTTTTCGCCTTTTTCACATCTTCTTTTCGACTTCTTCTCTAGACTCCTTCATTTCATCTATTCTCCATAAATTGGTGGGCTATTGGCACTACGTTGCCGGACCCATTCCCACAATACTATACATTAAAGACCAATACGTACCTCAGACATTTCTGGAAAAACTGCGAGTCTTAAAGACTGCGACGTACACATGTGGAGGCGTTAAAGTCCTCGAACTTATATGTTGCTCTTCTTGTTTTTTATTCTTTGCAAATACAATTTAAAGTTGGTAAATAATAACTTGAAAATTGAACAAAAACATGTTGAACTTTCCAAAATGCTTAGACTCTTTATCCACCTCCTGATGGCATGATGGTGTGCAGGAAGGGAAATCCTTAGCAATTATGAAACATATTATGCTGCCTCATTTGCAGCAACTTGATTTGGCAAAAAGCAAAAAAAAAGAAGAAAAACTGGCACGCATCACAACAGTAATATCAGAGGCAGAAGAAGAAGAAGAAGAAGCATCAGCAACATGTTGCAGGGCGGAGGCACGCAGGTGCCGCCAGGATGCGAGCCTCCAACATGATACTGGGCTCGCATTGCAACTGATACTCCCTCCAGTGCCCTTTTTTCGACATTTCGACAAAGTGTTGCGAGTGCGCGAAAGGCGGCGTCGACTATTAAGACAGCAAGGCAACAGCAACACCAACAGCAACGGCAACCAGCAGCCAGAAGCAATGGCAACAGCAACAGCAACAACAAGAACTCAAGCAGCAGCGGCAGCAGCAGCAACAACAACAACAATATAGTATGAACATCGAAGTCGGCACGGCGGCTTAAGTGGCGTAAATTACAGATCGGCGCTTTTAACTTTGAAGCCGATTCGTACATGAAATGAAAACACGAAAATAATGAGTGAATGTTGCTGTTGCCTTTTGCTTCTTACATGTTGTTGTTGTTGTTGCTGTTGTTGCTGTTGTTGCTGTTGTTGGGTGTTATTGCTGGCGCTGTTGCTGGCATTGTTTAGTGTCGGCAATTGGCAGTTACTTTCAACGTAATTATGTTATTGCTGTTTGATGTTCTGCCTTGGCCGCAACATCTAAATATCTGTAGCAATGTACGAGCATAACTCTTAGCCTCGACAACATTACGAAATGTTGCAGCAACATCACGTACGCAACAACAAAATTTGCAAAATAAATAAAAATATATGTACATAATTGTACCACGAATAGTTTTTTGATTTCTTAACAAGGCTATAGGCAAAACTTCAGCTATTTAAACTTTTCTTTTAAAAATTAATACTGTTTTAATATAAATGGAAGGCCCTTAACTCACATTAATGTCTAGCACTTCGCAATGTATAGTTTTTATTTGTACTGATAAATATTTCAAAGTTATTTATGGTATTTCCTTTTCGATTTGGTTTTTTTCAGAGATCCCATGGACTCGTTTTTTTTCGATCAGCATATGCGCGCTCCGCTGCGCTTCTTTCCCGATCCACTGATGGCCCAGCTCTCCCCCCAAGAAGCCGACGCCGCTTCGCTCGCTTTCCTGGAGAAGGCGCGTCAGCATCTGCAAATGTTTGGACGATCTCCATACACGGATATGTTGCTCCCACACCTTTATCAGCGAGCAGCCCCAGCGCCGCCAGCTCTGAGCGCCTTTCAGCTAGGCATGTGGCAGCAGCAGTGGCCGCAGTTGACCGCTGGCTTTCTGGCCAGTGCTAATCAACAGGCGGCCTTTGCAGCAGCGGCAGCGGCGGCTGTAGGAGCCAATCGGACACCACCTCCACCGCCGCCTCCAGCAGTGAGTGCAGCTCCGCCAACAACAACAAATGCCCAGCCCATTGTCTTGGCCTCGCCGCCTGCCGCCCCCGCCACTCCCACCTCGTCGTGTGGCTCTCCCTCCCCAGACTTGCGCATCAAGACGCATCTGCATCCGGCGCATTATCCCCAGCGCTTCAGTCCGTATCAAGTGCCGCAGCATCAGGCGTCGCCGCCTTCCCCCCTGCCACTGCAACAACACCAACAGGCGCGGCAGACGCCAGAGCTGACGCCAACCCTTGTCTCACCACCCTCGTGCAGTCCATAGGCAAATGCTAGCTTCTAGATAAAATATACTTATAGGTGACCCAGCTGTTGTGCTCAGAGTCTCATGTTGTCCATATTTGGTCTAGACTTTTACAAATGGAAGCCTCCAATAAATAAGATACTAATGAATCGACTTCGAGCTATCCGGGAACCCAGTTTTATAATATTTGTAAAGAGTGCAATGGATACAACGTTAAGGCTTTTAAATAGAACGGGCTGTTCATATCCTTTTTCGTTAAACATAAGTATAAGTTTGAGAAAATCGAATCACATTAGTCAGCGTGTCTGATCTACTTGTAGTTCTCTGATCTAGTAAAAAGCCCTTCTTTGGAGATTCGCAGAATTTCCATTGTGTTTCTTCTTTGTTGAGTACTGAACACTTTCTGTGTCGACTCTTAAAATAATGAACGAATGGAAAATAGCTTTGAAGTACTCTAAATTGTATCACTGAAGCCAGGTCGAAAGCTTTTGATGTATCTTTCAATATTCTAATCAAATCATGTGCAATATGGACTTGAGTATTCTCTGTATTTTGTCGCCGTTGAGATTTATGTGCAATAGAAGAGATCCGATGTTCCAGCGCCAAACACAAACCCAAACCCCTTTTGTACATAACCCGCAATCAACACATAAAATGTAATACAAGTATGTAAGTAGTTTTAGTTTATTCCTATTAATGCTTTCAGTTAGTGTAGCTAAGCATATGTTGCTGCAACATCATATGTTGCATGTGATGCGGCCCAGCACGATCTGCGAATGGTTTATTAGCTGGCAAGTGCGACAGTATTAGTTAATTTAAATAAGTGTAGTAGTGCTCGCTGCCACACCTTGACATCGCTTCAAAAAGTATTTTTGTTGTTGTGCTATTTGTTCCTAATTCCTAATCTACGACTAATCATTAATTCATCTACTATACTCGTATAGTTTTGTGAATTGATTGTAAAGCAATGCTGAACTCCGTTTTAAACACTCCAACAAACATTTTGCCCAAAGTAAACGTTTTGTAAATCAAAATTACACAAGAATCAAACTATGTATGTTAGCTAGCGCATAGTCTATAAAAAGTACAGCAATTAATTAAATATATTTGCAAAAAAGAAAACAATTAATAAACAGTTATAACACAAATACAAAGTGCAAAAGCGCCGAGTTGTTTTGTTTGAAACGAAAAAAGGGAAAAGCAAGAGCCACTGCAAACATGCAATTGGCAAAATAGCCACAGCAGTTGCTGCCTCTTCAATATAACAATAAAAGCTGTAAACTATCTAATAATTAATAATGGGGCTGCAGAAAACAATGTGCAGCACACGTGATGCGCAGTCGCGCGTAGCTTGCAACAATTCTCCAATTGCTATCAGCAATGAGGCTGTTAGGGAGATGGATGGGGCGGAGGCGGACGATGATGAAAATGTAGGAGGAGGAGGGGGAGGAGGAGGAGGAGGGGCAACGGCACTGACATTTATGCCAAGCAATGAAATATAATTTATAGAATTGTGTGCTCTTTATGAAAGACTAATTAATTACAACACACACTCATGCGTACGTTTATACAAATAAACATGTAAACATTCGTTTCCACTTTTAAGTCGTTTGTGTTGGATGGAAAGTTGTTGTTAAAGGGTTGTCTCTGTTGCTGCTGCTATTGTTGTTGTTGTTGTTGTTGTTGTTGTTAAGGTGAGCGTTACATGCAATCGTCGCTGGTGCTACTGCACCATCTGAGAGCCGCGGAGAGGAGTCAAGTTTTGGGGGGAGAGTTGCAGTTGCAGTTGCAGTTGCACGCGACATGCGTCATCAATTTCTAATGATATATGTCTGCAGCTCAGACATTTGTTATTAATTTTTGTGTTGTTGCTGCTTTTTATTTTGTCGGTACATAGCCCGTTAATGTGATATGAAAATGAAGTTGTGTAAAAGGGGAAAACGGTAAATGATGAGCGCAAATGGCTTAGCATTTTTAGGATTGTTTATCAATTGGAAGCATATGCTTCTACCTACACCAGACTTAAATCAAATTAAATCCATTATTTTGCATTTTGAATAATGACAATTTATTTGCCAACTGTGTAACATTCCAAATTAAACTATGCAGATCATTGGAGACAGCAATGATGTGTACGAGCTCGATTTAAATTCCGAGAAAAGAACTGGCTAAATAGACACATCTTAGTCTGAAATTAAATCTCCTTGCATTATTTAAATTTCCAGTTAAGTATTAGGTAAATAAACATATCTAAATAGACAAATCTTAATCTGAATTTAAATCTCCTTTCAACTTTTGACAAATGATAAGTACCGGATAAGTACTGGCCAAATAGGCATATCTAAATAGACACATCTTAGTCTGAATTCAAATCTCCTTTCAACTCCTGACACATCATTAGATATGAAAAATGTAAATCTTTTAAGTTTGAAATTTTCACCTTTCCACCAATCTCTTTCTCAACTCTCACGAAATGTGTAACTATCGTTGTCAATCACACCTAATTACATCCATAGACCACTAATATGGAGTCTCTACAAAAACAACCATACATATTCATTTAATAACTTAATTTTTATGCCCATAGGCCACGCACTACGGCCATAAGCAGCCAGTCTGTCGGCCATTTAAATATAGGTTATATAACAGGGCACCACTCGCAGCATAGGCGGCTAACCTATCGAATGGCCAACCAATAATTATACACTCGAAACTTGCAATTAAAAAATCGTTTTTAGCCGCCACTTTTAAAATGTCTTAATTAACTTTTAAGGCTTCCACAGCGCCCTTCATACAGCCGGGGAGAACAAATGAACGCACTGCGGTCTGAAATTGTGGGAAATTGTCATATTTCCATGAAGTATTGATGGCTGGTTGCGCCCAGCAATCAATAATGCAAGTGAAAGCGACATTTATTATAATTAATCTGGAAAATGGAAACGCCAATCCAAGTTTGTCGAAATTACAAGTTAGCTTTGAAGACATTGTGTGGTTAAATATTTAAATGGTTTCGAGGCCTTACTCCTTACTCGCCAAAGGAATTGCAATAATAACTCTACAAGGACTGCAAATTGTAGAGGCAGCCCTCTTGTTTATGTATCTTTGGTACTCGTTCTACGTAAAGCACCTCTCCACAGCGCTACAAATTTTCTCACTCACTGCGAGAAAGTCGTACACAAATTATCTCGCCACTAAAAATTTGCCTAATTTCCAACATAAATATGAAACGTCTTATCTTAAGCGACCGATCTTGAGCGCATATCTCTGGCGGGGCGGCGAGGCGGCGGGGCGTTGGGAACAGCAACCTTTTTGTGCGCACATCTCCGGACTAATTTTTGTGTGTTGTTCCGCTGGCCGGAGGGATGAACAGGAGTTATTAACGGCGCACGTCCCGACAAAAGGAATGAAAAAACAACACACACACACACACACCCTCAACGAGGAGCGGTTGTTTGCCAGGCGCTAACAAATTTATGTCCTCTTCAGCCTTAGATGGCATAAAAGGTGCCACAAAATTTGTTGTTCCGAGCGCGAAAGAACGACGGAAAGCGGCAGCGGCAGCGGCAGGCGTCGGAAAAGGTAAACGCTGGTCAGCTCATTACACACAATTTGCAGTTAGGTGCGAGCATATAAACTTCTGTAGGGGTCAGTACTGGGGCCCTGTTTTTGGGCATAAAAAATTTCACATTTACTTCTATGTATATCGTGGCTCGCATCAAAATTATGTTCTGTTTTATCTAAATTATATTTCTCCCGTTGCCAGTGTCTTGGCGATATCTCTGGCTTTTCTGGCACTTTCGAATGCTCTTCGCATATCAAAGCTCCAGGTGGACAACATGCTCGTAAACTTGTCAACCGTAAAATGTCTGTTAGCTGAGCACACAAGGAGCAACATTATTTCATCAAAGGAAATCGTAGCATGAGCTTTTCGCGATATGGGAAAACATGCCCTATCCAGTTCATGTCCGCATATCCTGGCAAGGAACTTGCCTTGCAACAACAACTTACGAACTACATAACTAAGTCGCCATAATCTAATTTTTTATAAGTATTTCGTTTTCAAACGTATTTTACACCGTCATTATTTTTATAAGCAGTAAACGTTTCTTAGGCAAATTCTACTAAACCATATCGATATTATAAAAGATGTATGATACAGTGATCTGACATGGTCTGGATAGTCTCGATAGATACATATAAATCGCGGCTTGAATTCGTCTCGAGTGTGAACCTAACTATGACATGCTCGTAGTGTCTACCTCACCTATTACACGAATCGAATATACCTTTAGACTTTTGAGTAAAGGAACAAGAAAATGTTCTTCATTTCTTAATTTCGAAATGAAAATTAGACAGGTTTTCTCGGAGCCCAGCCATTTTAATGCTCAAAAGTAATGCGGGAACATTAGCCATAAACGTGAGTTAATTATGCGATAAAATGTATTCCAAGTATTTATCAAAGAGCCATGAAAAAGTACTCGCGTCAGCCTGTCAAATTTCTGGAAGATGTTCTCATATATACCCGCTAACGTATTCAGACACTTACTTATGTATAGTACGATATACTTGTATACGAGTATGTATGTATGGTTGTGCCTCTGGCACGATTCATGCCACATGATTTGGCAATTTTTTGTTTATGGCCGAAGCTTCAAAATGCTGTTAGCTACAAGTGTTTAGCGGATATGTGTCTGTGTGTCTTACAGGCCCAGAACAAACAATAAAAGCTGTGTAAGCATCAACATAATAAATGGCCGCCTGTGTGGCAATTATTATAATTTCGAGGTATTAAAGAAAACACTCCTAACAAGCACCATCAAAATCTCTACGAAATTAATTTCACGTCGGCGACCAGGAGAAGTATGTGTGTCGATGTCCGTCGGCATTGGCTTTGACTGAGGAGGCCAGGAGGCAGGAGCCAGGAGCCAGGAGCCAAGAGCGAGGAGGCACAGCCATGTTGCATTGCAAACAAGCGAAGCCTACATCACACTTCAACACAATCAGGCAATTTCATCGAATGC